TCTCTTTTCTCTCTTTTTCTTTCTCTGTTGCATTAGATCCACCTTTAGGTCAACACACACACACACCATTTGTTACCACATTCCTGTCATCTGCATGAATTAGGACCTGGCCTGTTCGTGCCCAGAGGTAACTGGCCAATAGGACTTGGTTATGCCCAGTCCTCCTGTTAGAATTTGGCTATAAATACTCACTTTAGCATAGAATGTTATCACATGATCTATGTAGATTACTGATTGTTTTATTTCCTTATAGAACTATAGTTTGTGTTGTTTTCTTTTCTTTTACAACTATATTTTTTATGTTGAAGTCTCTGGTTGTGTCCACAGACTGTCTTTTCTCTCTTTTTCTCTTTCTGTTGCATTAGATCCACCTTTAGGTCAACACACACACACACACACCATTTGTTAGCACATTCCTGTCATCTGCATGAATTAGGACCTGGCCTGTTCCTGCCCAGAGGTAACTGGCCAATAGGACTCAGTTATGCCCAGTCCTCCTGTTAGAATTTGTCTATAATTACTCACTTTAGCATTGTATGCTATCACATGATCTATGTAAATTAGATTGTTTTATTTCCTTATAGAACTATAGTTTGTGTTTTTTTATTTTCTTTTATAATTATATTTTGTGTTAAAGTCTCTGTCTGTGTCCACAGACTCTCTTTTCTCTCTTTTTCTCTCTCTGTTGCATTAGATCCACCTTTAGGTCAACACACACACACACCATTTGTTACCACATTCCTGTCATCTGCATGAATTAGGACCTGGCCTGTTTCCTGCCCAGAGGTAACTGGCCAATAGGACTTGGTTGTGTCCAGTCCTCCTGTTAGAATTTGGCTATAATTACTCCCTTTAGCATTGTATGCTATCACATGATCTATGTAAATTACTGATTGTTTTTTTTCCTTATGCCATTTTTATGCTGTTGATCTACTCTGGTTTGTTCTCAGGTTTCCAACTAAAGAATCGGGCTGACAATGAGAACCCTGGTTGAACTTTTGCTCTCCGTTGTTCCCACCTTTATCTCGCTGTTGCCCACTTTAGTGGAGGATCGTATGATGGGACGACCCACCATGGCCGGGAAGATGTGGTCCGGGAAGTTGGATCCAGCAAAGCCACACTTGACAAACTGCCGTAGAGAAAGTAAAAAAAACACAAAATGATTTTTTTATTAGCGAAGCCACACTTCACAAAGGTCACCAAGTCTTCTGTCCAGGTCGATTTAATTAATTTAATTCCATCTGCGAATACATTACGATGCTTTGCAGGATGTTGTGGAAATTTTATTCTTAAGCAAAAGTCTGAGTCTGTCCAAGTGAGTAAGAAATAGAAATGTATTAAAACGGGAAAACTTCGGGATTTATTCTACAATCTGTAGTCCTACATTGGGAGGGAGGGATGGAGGGAAGGAGGGATTGGGAGATTTTGTTTATTTGTACTACCATGTTTGAACATGACGCAAAATGTGGGGACATGTATGTGACTTTTATGCGTATCTTTTTTGGAAAATTCAATAAACACAATTAAAAAAAAAAAAAAAAGGGAAAACTTCATGGAGTGAGAGCTAGATAGATAGATAGATAGATAGATAGATAGATAGATAGATAGATAGATAGATAGATAGATAGATAGATACTTTATTGATCCCCAAGGGGAAATTCAAGTGGTTCATATGACGTACCTCTAAAGAAAAAACAAATCATAATGCATTTTATAGCCCTCTCTGAGTCTGAGGTAAGGAGTAAAGTATGTCTTTTATCATAGTGAAATCTGCATGTGTACCAAACAATTAACAATTAAGAGATAACGAATAAGTAGACCTTCTCTAGGACCCTGAAAGAGAAAAGAGTCCCATAAGAAAGAAAAAATACCTTCAGAATATATGCTAGTTTAAAATTTCCCTAGAGAAGTGAAGAAAGTGATGGGCAGAAAGATAATTTCTCACACTTTTAAATGGACGGGTGTCCAATATTTATTTAGCAAAAACATCTAAACAAACGCGGTATTACACAGTCTGTAAAGAAGGACGTGACACCTCCCACTTCTCTGTTTCAACTTGTCTGAGTGGCACTCACATTCCTTAGCCTGAAGCAGAGCAATGTAATCCTAGCAGAGACGTAATAAGAAAACAATAAAAACAAAAACACAGATTAGCCTCTAGTGGTTGGTGGGACGGTTATCTGCTATCGGAAAGGCACAAATCACAAATAAATACTACGATATTGTATCAGGGAGGCAATTTCTGACACCTTGAATTTCTCTTCCTGCTTTCCATCAAATGCAACCATTTATGGACGTGTCTAAAGGGAGGAAAGGTACAAGTCCAGACACATGTTGAACAAGGTGCTGTGCACACAGTTTTACACTGTGGACTTCTTATGTTTCACAGTAAAAAAACACATCTGTGGCAGCACATCTGTTTTAGATTCACGTAAAAAAATTAAAAAAACACAAACCTATGTTTTGTATGAATTATGTGAGTGAGACCATGTTAATTTTGCAATGAAACATCCAACACAAAGAGATTCTGGACACTTACCCCTGTCCCATTGTCACAAACCACCACCTTCCTCCCCTCGTTGTCCATTCTTCAAAACTACAAGCTGTCCGAACAGGAGTCTTTCTAAAAACTTCAGATGAATAGCATAAATCCAGCAGGGATCACAGCTGGCAGCTAAGCAGGATTCCTCTTGCTCCTTCAAATGTGGGCGGGATTAGAAAAGGTGAATACACCTATTTCCTTTGGCCTGGAACACTTTTCCTGTAGGAATTTGTCATTTAAATGCCCTTACCTGTCTCCTCATGTGTGGCTCTCGTTTTGCTGCTTAAAACTTAACAGTTTGGATCTTATTTACAATATTGGCCTTTATGAAATATGCTAATTTAATAGTCAAAATCAACCTAATTCTCAAGACTTAATCTAGAAAGTGCAGAATGGACTGATGGTGTGTTTATTTGAGGCAAAATGTTAATTAAGGGCTCTTATATAACCTATAAAAAAAAGCTTTTATACAAATGAGTGAGAGCTTTTCACATAAACTCGTGAAAAGCTTTCATACACACCAGTAAAAAGCTTTTAAGACCCGTGTGTGTAAAAGCTTTTCACCAGTTTGTATTAACACTTTTCACTACTTTGTATAAGAGCTTTTTTATTAGGTTATATTAGAGGTAAATGTTTTCATTAGTTCATGTCAAAATTAAACAGTTCAAAGCTAAACAGTCAGGATCTTATTTACAATATTAGCCTTTAGGAAATATTAACATTTAATTTAATATTTAATATTCAACCTAATTCTCAAGACTAAATCTAGAAAGTGCAGAGTGGACTGATAGCAAAATCACAGCTGGAAGATTTGGTATTTATTTGAGGCAAAATGTTAATTAAGGGTAGTATTTAAGGTTTTTTAATACTTTGTTTGCTTAGATATTTGCTTTAAAAAAGTGATCCATCATTAACACACTGTTTCTTCAACCAAATCGAACTGATTAGTAATAAAACTAAACGGTGTTTGTATGTTATGGGGCCCCCTGGTGTTAAATATGGCTGAAACGTTTTCCGGAGTTAATGAGTAGCTAACTAACTAATAACTAATAAATATGAGACAGTTTAGCTCCGTTTGCTTGTTTAACAGTTTTTAAAAAAGACAACTAGCCTAACATAAATCAGAATGATGCTTTAGGAGATTTCAGTTATTCTGTTTAGTCGTGTTTTGGGCGTCTGAAGAGTGAATTTAAAAATACTTTTAACAGTTGGTTGCCGTTATGCTAACGGGCGCCATCTTGGTACATTTAAAAATAGCTTTGGAGGATTCTGACGACTTATTATCTAGTTAATCATCTTTACTGTGTAACTGAAACACCATAGCTAATTCAAAGTGGATTTAAAGTGTTCTTAACACACAGGTAAGTGAGATTTTATAAAGAATCAAACATCTTAAACATAATTGTTTACAGGGGAGTTACAGGTATTCCTGACAGCTTTAGGCTGTTATTAACTTTTCTCAAAACATAAAGAGGTCAGACCTTGGTTATGTGGATATCTGTGGTGTATTTGGAGTCAAAGAAGCTCACATTTTCTCAACATTTCCTGCTTTCTTTGGATCAGTTTCAGCAGCTATTTTGTCATTAAATGCTACTCACACACAGGTGATAGTAATTTATCTAATTGTTGTTTTTGTTCTGCCCTCATTTAACCTGTTCGGCTTTTGTTTATAGGCGATAAATGCTGCAAAAACATGGGACTTCTGGCAAATGTAACTGTACAATCCAACCAGATTTGTCATTTTCTGAAGTGATGAGTCAGAAAAGGAAAAAGAAAAACATTTTCAGTGCGTCTCTCCATTATCAATCCATCCACTTTCTGTACCGCTTATTTTCAAAAGGGTCCACCCTGGAAAGGTTGCTGGTCCTCCGCCGGGCCACACAGAGATAATCAACCACCCACACTCACATTCACTCATAGGGGCAAATTGGAGTGTCCAATTATCGAAAATGCAGGGTTTTGGACAGTGGGAGGAATCTTTCTATTATCTGCTATGTTTTATTTCTGTATCTCAGCTCATGGAAAATATTCATGGAGCTTGGAGGCGTCTTTCTCTCCCTCAAACCAGCCTGGAAACACATTTATCTCCATCCCCCCCCCCCCACAATTATTAAAACGCTGCATTATTTCAAGTGGTTGAAATAGGACGTCATGTGTAGCATTCTTTTTACTTAGTCATGCCTTTGGTAATGTGATCTCAATTTTAAATGCCAGGCATAAAATATAACAATAAATATCCCTTTTAACATTTAAGGTGACTAGATGAGGCAACCAGTTGTCCAACTTTCCATACACTCCAGAAAAAAACAACATTCAGTCAACTCAACCTTAACATAAGATAATCTGTTTTTCCTCCTTTGTTTAAAGGACATATATTCATTAAAAGAACAGATTCGATTAAGCGAGGCCTGCGTCCAAACAAAGGAAAGCAATAAGTGGATAAAAATAGGTTCATTTATTTACATTAAACATTTACAAAACAACACATTCTCCCTGAAATGCAGAAATGTGCCATGAGAAGCGGTCTTTGTAAGAAAGATATCAGACGGTAGGCCTTTTTTTAAATGACGTGGGGGGCGCATCGTGGCCCTCTAGATCTCACTTGTAGGCACAATGAGTGGAAAACCGGCGAGTGCTTCTCGGTCCTCCTGATCCCTCCTTTCTGTTTTGGCTCCTGCAGGAATCCCAGCAGCTCAGGAAACCCTCCAGGAAGCCTTCCAGTCCCAGTGGGCACCCCAGAGAAGTGGGCAGGTAAAAGGGCTCCGGACACACGGGTTGGTTGTACTTTAAGCAGCGTGTTTGCGGCGTTTAAGCGCGCGCTGGTAGCTTTTGTAAGCTAACGACTAACGGCCTACTGTTGCATTGTTGCGATGCCCTTAGATCCACTTATAAGGCAGAGAAACGAGCTGAAGTCAGTTTTTTTCGATCGCGTTTACATGCACTTAATTAATAACCTCTGTAAACGACTTTATTTCTGACCTGATTTAGGTGTTTTTTTCCTGCCCGAGCAGATGGGAATCATAGTGTGTAGAGGAGTTTAACCCTATAATGCCAAATGTGTCGAATTTGATGCATACGGTTTCTGAAGTCTTTTGGATCTGAGACTTTTTGCATCATTCATTGGTAAAAGCTTTGCTCAAACCCCTGTTGTACACATTCAGATATGCCTGATAACAGCCAGTAGAAGACTACACCAAAATATATTTTTGACTTATTGCGCGCTAATTTGATCAAAATAATTTCAGTTTTTTTTTCTTCATATGTTGTTGAGGGGCCAAAGAAAGACTTCAGACTAAAAACATCCAGCATTCTTCCTATTTTTCTTGGATCAGGCTTTAAAGGGTTAAACGAATGTAGCTTTCACATGACCTATTAGAAAATCTTCTATCTCAAAAAGTCCACTGAAACCAGTATAAAACAATAAAATATTAAAACTCACGTCAACTAAAGGCCATCGGCGCAATTTCTATAAATACTCTGCCTGAGACTTGTCTTTTTTTTTTTTTTCTGTAATACCTGGGGATGCTTTCCTCTCTAAAGTGCTGAGTCATGGTCAGCAGGAAACTAATAAAACGACAGTCCCGTGCCGGGTTGCTTTTATAAGTGCGTTTGTTCTCCTCCTCACGGAGGACGAATGGGCTCAGTCAGTCCCCCCCCCCCCCCCCCCAAGTTCCCGAAGTGTCCGGCGTTTTGGGTCGAGGGGGTTAGGGCTCGAACTCGCTATCGCTGCTGACGGATATCTCCGGCGTGGAGGCGCCCCCGGCGCCGCGGCGCTCGTTCTCCGTGCTGCAGTCGCTGTTCTCCGGGGAGTTGGGCGGCAGGTGGGGCCGCCGCCGCTCCGGCAGGGAGCCGTCCGGCGAGCCCTCGGAGGGCAGCAGGCCGGGGTCCTGCTGCAGCCTGGGCACACGAGCATTAGCATTAGCATTAGCATCAGCATCTCCTGACTTCACACGAGCATTAGTGTTAGCATTAGCGTCTCCTAACTCCACACTAGCATTAGTGTTAGCATTAGCATCTCCTGACTTCACAGGTCTGTGTCCTAACCATTAAGTTGTTATCAGAGCATTAGTAGTAGCATTATCATCTGTGACCCACACGTCTGTGTCCTAACCATTAAGTTGTTATCAGAACATTAGTATTAGCATTAGCATCTGTGACCCACTGCAGCCTGGGCGGAGGGGCGAGAGGCGGGTCAGCACCAGGAGACTCCCCCCACATTAGCATTAGCAGTAGCATTAGCATTAGCATCTCCTGACCTCACACGAGCATTAGCATTAGCATCTCTTAACCCAGTGGTTCTCAAACTTTTTTCAGTGATGTACCCCCTTGAAAATATATTTTTAGTCAAGTACCCCCTGACCCAGGCAAAAAAATTTGGAAGAAAAAAGAGGTACAGTGCTGTCTTATTTATTAAAGCCAAACGTAACCATGGTAACGACAGGTCGTTGACAAGTGCGCTGGGTCCATGGGTAAAACTAACTTGGTGGGGGGTCCGTTTTATTTTAAAGGATATTGAAACTAAATACTGAATATAAAATGCAGTGCATGAACACACATTTATATTCTATCAAACTTTTTTTTTTACAGAATACTTTCTCCCAAGACTTATTATGAGGAGCCTACTGATTTTTAAAATATATTTTGAAAAGCTTCACGTACCCCCTGCAGTACCTCCACGTACCCCCAGGGGTACGCGTACCCCCATTTGAGAATCACTGTCTTAACCCACAGGTCTGTGTCCTAACCGTTAAGTTGTTATCAGAACATTAGTATTAGCATTAGCATCTGTGACCCACAGGTCTGTGTCCTAACCATTAAGTATTTATCAGAACATTAGTATTAGCATTAGCATCTCCTAACTTCACACGAGCATTAGTGTTAGCATTAGCATCTCCTGACCCACAGGTCTGTGTCCTAACCATT